ACAAGACGTTCTAAAAGGACCATTGGAAGTTATTTAAAACTCAAATGACCACAACTGGTAAATTGTTAATACTCAGAGGACCATTGGAGATATTAACTCATATAATTCGCTATGTTTGAAAAGATCAATTTGTAATTTTTTTTTTATTATAAGGGGGTACCTTATATACACACTACTTTTGTCTCAAAAAAGGTTTGAACCTATCACCTCCTGCTTAGAGGAGTAACTAAGTACCAATAGACCACAAGCCACTTAGTAGATTAATTTGTAATTAATTTCTGTGATTTGGAGATTGACTTTACTTGAGTCATTGGTAAATTGAGTGGTATAAAAATGCACTCAGACCAAAAAAAAAAAAAAAAAAAAAAAAAAAAAAAAAAAAAAAACTTATAAGGGCCAGGGTTTGAAATTGTTTTTCATTGTAAGCAATAACAACATATTTTCCCATATTTTGTTATTTGTTAACAATATTCTCTATTACTGACTGGTTGTGTTAGCCAATTGTAAATTGTTGTAGTTATAAAATTAAGATTACTCTTCCTCGAATTCTATCTAAACCTTAAATATCATATCCAACTATCCAATCAAATCTCAATTTCTATGGTTCTTGTAATTCTTGACATTGATTTAATAAAATCAGATGCCTTAATTTTGATTGAAACATCAAACATGCACTAATTAGATTGAAGTTTTTAATAACGTTATGGATGGGATATTATATATTCCGAAATTTATCACAATTTTTGTACGGAGTTTGACTAAATTTAGTCTGCGGATTAAATATGTCCCAAATTGTCACATTAGTTGTTGGGTTAGAGAACAATTTGGCATGAATTTGAATCTAGTACATCCCCGTTCCCGGTTAATTTTTAAAGACCTTGTGATTAAGTGGTATAATTGTAATTCTTCCAAATTGGAGAACACAACTTCGAACCCCATTAAAGATAATGATTTTTTGTGTATTTCAATAAATTGTAACAGAGTCAGTAGTGATGTATAATACATGTTGACTCCCAAATTGGAGGACACAACGTCGAACCCCATTAGAGATATTAACTTTTTGTGCTTCAATAGATTGTAACAGAGTCAGTAGTGATTTATAATACATGTTGATGCACAGATTCAGCAGAGGTTTTGACCTATTAGTAAATGAAAGAGTACCTATGTAAACTATCATCCATATTTTTTTATTGAAAAAAGAAAATCGAAAAGCTATTAAAAAAATAAAATAGTAAACAAGATTAAATAAGCTCTTAAATTCGAATCTTGTGAAAAGACAAGTAATATAAAATAAAAAAGTTTACGGGAGTTTGATTCGTTTAAGTATGATATCGAGAGAGAGTTCTAACATAACACAATGTGTACGAGACCTGACCAAAACTTGGTTCGATTATAAAGAAGTGGTTTTGTTTGAGTTAAATCTATGTGGTTAAAAAAAAAAAAAAGATGGATTTACTAGTAGTATTACCTTTTTATTTTTTTTTTTGAAAACCAAACCACACAAAATTCATTAGCTAATCAAGTCATTACACAAAGCAATTGAAAGAAAAGACGAGTCGATATCACACCAAAAACGACTCCCAACAGCTAAACTAGCATCCCTAGCTAATAAGTGAGCCACAGTATTAGTCGAGCGCTTTACAAAACAAAGGGAAATATTTGAAAACATAGATAAACTCATAGTAATATCACGCAGGAGTAACTCATAAGGGGACAGATTTAAACGCGGCATATTTGTAAGAACCTGCAAACCTGTAAATAGATTCGTTAACTGGTAAAATTTGAATTATAAGAGGGACTACTGTTTTTTTCTCTCATCTTTGTACAAATCTTTTTCCTTGGGTTGTTCCAGGTTAGCTGTTTTCCTGTTTTCCAATATGGCTTCCTCCGACACTGAGATGCTATGAAAAGAATGTGCCGCTTTGACTATTGAGGATGGTGAGGAGGGACTAGTTGTGGGTTTGGATGACACTGACGTCTCCTCCATTGATCTGCGTTTTGCTGCTGTCGGTAAAAGGTGTTGTAAGATTATGAGAATGTAATATTATTTTGTGTTTAGTTAATATTGTATAGTGTCATATATTATAGTACCTTATCCACAAAAGGCGAAATCTTTTGTTTCAAGGGTCCTACACTTTGGCCCGACAAGATGGAGGAGTAAATTATGGTGAGTCTGCAACATCTCTTAAGTGAAAGGACTAGTGCTTGACGCTTATTAGGAGCGAAGGAGCCCACCAATTGTATAATCACATTACCTTCATTTTATCTTATTTTTTTTAAATGACAACAATATTGAATTATTACTCAAGATTATCATATAATCTAAACTATGATAAAATTAGAGTAAATACCAGCTAAGGTCCCTCGAGTTTGGTGGTTTCACCACCTTTAGTCCCTAACTTTTATAATTACCATCCGTGGTCCTCCGAGTTACGAAATGTGACCTGCTATCATCCTTCCGTTAATTCTTTCCGTCTCAGCCGTTAAAATCATGGGTAAATATGTCATTTGGCTTTTGTCTCCTCGACTCCTGCCGACGATGATAACCACCGCTCTCAAACTTCTTCCCCCACCACCAGTGGTCGGCGATGGCGACTTGCAATCAGGGAACGGAGAAATAGAGCGACGAACCTGGCTGCTGCAGCGTAGTCTACTGGTTTTGGAAGCAGTGATTACCCATTTAGAAACTGGATGCAAGAAATTAAATTAGAAAAAAAGAAACAAAACAAAACAAAAACTTTGGCTAAAGTTAAATCAATGCCCAAGAAATGCAGGGTAGCTTTTCAACAAGGTGGCTAAGGGGCGGTTGAAGGAGGTAGTTTGGAAATACTTTAAGCTTCGCCGCCTACGTGGATTTCTGCCACAGCCGCGGCGTGTACCACCGCGATTTGAAGCTAGAAAATCTTCTGCTAAACGAGATTTTGGGTTGAGTGTGCTGGCGGAGTCCTGCCGGTAGGAAGGGCTCCTCCACACCACGTGCAGCACGCCGGCGAATGCCGCGTCACAAGAAAATTAGCAAATTCCTGGTTCCAAAAGGGTTTCACCCAAATCCAACCCCAACCCAAACCCATAATCTCCAACGCCGATACCTAGAACGAAGAATCTCCAAGTACCATTTTTTACGATCACTCCACCCCGGACGCAGCGGGATCCTCGATGAAACCCACGTGCCTGAACACATTCGACATCATTTCTCTCTCCCCAAGCTTCGACCTCTCTGGTTTCTTCGACGTGGACACGAACAAGAAAACAGAGTCTCGGTTCACGACCAAGACATGAGGAAAATTACAGATGACCACGAATTCCATGAAAATTACAGAGTCTCCCCAAGCAGCCGACTTCCACCATCATCTCCAAGTTTGAGGAAATTGCAATTTTGGAGCACTTTCTGGTGCAGAAGAAAGACGGGATGGGTTGGTGAGGTTTTCGGCAATGGGTTCATTGGAAGGACATGGAAAATTATATATTTACCCATATTTTGACGGCTGAGACAGAGGGATGTAACGAAAGGATGGTAGTAGGTCACATTTCGTAACTCGGATGACCACGAATGGTAATTACAGAAGTTAGGGACTAAAGGTGGTGAAACCACCAAATTCGAGGGACCTTAGCTAGTATTTACTCATAAAATTATACTCCGTATAATATAATCATATTTACATTCCCTAATAATATTACATAACTTAAAAATAAGATTATTCTCCGTATAATTTTATCATATTTACATTACCCTAATAATATTACGTATTACATAACTTAAAAGTAAAGAAAAAAAAAAAAAAAAAAAAGAAAAAAGAAACTCATCATGAGACTCTTTCCATATCCGCATATGAAAATCATTACACAATAGTTATTACCTAACATATCATAGATAATTCTTTCGTTTTTTTTTTTAATGTTTAATTATTACATCGAGTTGCATTCAAAAAAAAAAAAAAAATTATTACATCGAGTTTTTAGACAAATTATTGTGTGGACCATGGTCCACACAATGTTATGTGGACCATAACATAAAGTACATTTTTAATATACTAAATGTACATTATTTTTGTACTGAATGTACATTATACCATATAATGTACATTCAGTACAAAAATAATGTACATCCCCTGAATACAATGTACATTATTTTTGTGTTTAATGTACATTATTTTTATACTGAATGTACATTATTTTATAGTATACAAAATATGGTCCATACAACTTGTATGGACCATGGTCCACACAATAATGATTGGAGTTTTTAACCCCCGGTTAAGGAGAACTCATAAGTCATAATAGCCATTATTCAAAATTGTGAACGGGGTAAATTTTATTCGATTTTTGTGTAATAGTTAGTAAATCACACAGAGAGATAATTCGCACTAAGAAGATTGTTTATGATGGCTCGACCTAGCAAAATGAAGTTAGCACGAATCGAACTCATGACCTTTAATACCAGAATCATGTTCCACTCACTCAGTTACCCATTTTGGTGAAAGTAAACTCTTGTTGTTAAGCTTCTGGTGGGGCCTTAATTCATAAATAGCAGATATTGGCCCTGTTTGGTAAAATAGTTAGGCTATCAGTCAATTTTGGCTTATTTGATCACTATTAACTTTTTGACTTGGTTAAAGAATCAATATTAATATTTGATTAATTAACTTTTTGTAACAGCTTAATGCTCAAAAATGCTAAAATTCAAAAAGCTGCTCAAAATAGCTTTTACAATAAGTTTTTTGAGAAAGTCATTTTGTATGTAATTAGCTATCCGCTAACAACTAATTTACCAAACACTTTTTTACAATTAGTTAAAATTAATCAAACCCTCATATCAGCTAACAACTATTTACCAAACACCCCTAATTTTAGCAGTGAGGGCAATATTATATTTTTGTTAGTGTTAGTGTTAAAGTAAATAAAAGTAGAGGGTTTAGGGGGAGAGTGAAAAAGGGTTAAAAGTAAGCAGTTATGGAAAGTGAGTAATGAGACCAAAAGACTCTCTACTATAAAACTCCCCCACTTCTCTCTCCCAATTACACACTCCACTCTCTCTTTCTCTCCCTCCACGATGCCGCAATTCTGCTGTATCTGAATTCCTCCTTCCTCTCCGCAGCTTAACCCTACGCATATATTCAACTAACAGAGCAGATCTGCTCCGATCAATTCTGCAACTCGCCGGAGAGGAATGGCGGAGGTTTCCGGCAACATTGTGGCGGCATCGATGCCGGAGACGCTCCGGGGGCCGGCAGCCGACATAGCGGCGCAGATGGGGCTGATGTGGGAACTCATCAAAGCGCCCCTCATTGTCCCTCTGTTAAGGTTATCCGTCTATGTCTGCCTCGCCATGTCGCTTATGTTGTTCTTCGAGCGGCTTTACATGGGGATTGTGATTATTCTGGTTAAGATTTTCTTTAAGAAACCGGATAAACGGTACAAATGGGAGGCAATGCGCGACGATTTGGAGTCCGGCAATGCCTCGTACCCTATGGTCCTCATCCAAATCCCCATGTTCAACGAGAAAGAGGTAATTTCATTATTTGTTTGTCTTGTCTGATTCTCCTTGGAAGGATTGATCGATAGATGTTACTGTTCCTAATTTTCTGCTAATCAATCCCTGTCCCTTTTTGTTAATCATGCCCTAATTACCCGACATGTGCTGATAAACCACACAATCTCCCTGATTTTCATGCTTTTGGCCAATTCAGAAAACGACACATACATTTTGCCTGCCTCGTTTCTTAGTCCCAATTGTTTAATGATGTTTCTGGACGGACCTACAGGTTTACAAGATCTCCATTGGAGCTGCATGTAACCTCTCCTGGCCGTCCGATCGAATTGTGATTCAAGTCCTTGATGATTCCACTGATCTTGTCATTAAGGTATACAACCAAACACTGTTCTGTTTTCCAATCACAGTTATTTATTTATTTATATTTTCTAATAAACATGATTAGCCCCCCCAATGCAATTCCAGATCTAGGCTTCATGATTACACTTAATCCCATAAATTCCAGCACAGATGGTGATTATTTTAAGGTTTTAATGTTGAATTCTATTCTATGTTGTTATAGCATTGATTAAGGATGCCTTCATTTTTATTCTACATATTAACTTACCAAAACCAATACGATTTCCCTACTTTTTTTCTAATTTCTATAATAAACATGGAACCCATAAATGGTTATTTTCCATAACATTTTGTAATTAATTTGTTTATTTATTTATATAGGATATGATTGAGAAAGAATGCATAAGATGGGCGAGCAAGGGCGTGAACATTAGGTACCAAATTCGGGAGACTAGAGGTGGATACAAGGCTGGAGCTCTAAAGGATGGGTTAAAACACGATTATGTTAAAGAATGTGAATACGTGGCAATTTTCGACGCCGATTTTCGCCCCGAGCCCGATTTTCTCCGCCGGGCAATCCCGTTCTTGGTTCACAATCCCAACATTGCCCTCGTTCAAGCTCGTTGGCGTTTCGGTAAGCACCCAATATATATATATATATATATATATATATACCATAATATAATTGGCACCAAACTAATCTTGTTATCTCTTTTTAAATGCTGTCCACTAAACTATTGAGTTAAGTCCGTGTGGGTTTAATCTCGTTATCTCGTTATTATTAATCTTCATAACCTTAATTCAAAGTGTCGGTGGGTGGTCTTCTTAGGCATGGTAACGCCGTAACAAATTTGTTACTCTGCCGTGTTTTTGCATGCAGTTGAAATTATTATTATTTAATTTATTCTACCTTTTTTATTTTTATTGTACTAGTTACTACTTCTTGGCATGGGGAATGGGGTCCACAGAAACTCCATCTGTCATGGATGGTGGGGACCACCTATGCAATGCCTGCCGTACATCACGGGTTTAGACTTTTTTTAGTCACCAAATCACACATTTAATCACTTTCTTTACTAGGAAAATGCTTGTCGATCGCAGAATTTCAATTGACAGTGACAAAATATTTTTTTTTAGAAAAGAACTAAATCAAAATTTATGAGGTCAAACGAAATTTCGGCTTAACTATGATATCATGGGACTAATACACAATAATATATTACTGTGAGTTATTGATACCTTTCGTGTGTCACTAACATTGTACCTTAAATGGCTTTCGTTGGAATCTTTTAATGTCACTCAAAATTGTTCAGTCACTTTCTTTGATGCGTATTCTTATTTGTAAATAATAATTTGATTTTTCTTATAAGTAATCGCAAGCGTGACTGGCGGGTCTATTTGACGCCGTTATCCCTTCATTAAGTTGAAAATGAGTGTGGGCGGTGGAGCATTAACCGCCGATTTAGCGTTAGATATATACGGGGCAGGTTTGTCATTTTGCTGAATGGGACAAGGGCAGAAGCGGGATGGTCTTGGTCTAAGCATGAGGGAGGGTAGAATTGTCATTTGGGGACGCCTCCACGTGCTGTTATCTTGTGTCAGAGCCACGTGGGCCTGCCTCCATCTGTCTGTCCCCTCTAGACTGACTTCGTCCCCAAATCTACAGTGTTCACCGACACTTAAGACCGACAGGGGTTTAATAGTAATTTACTAAAAAGTATAAGTAAAATTACAGAGAAAATTAAAAATGGCGGGGGTAATCTCCGGGTTGTTATGAAGACGTGGCAGTATTTTTTTTTTCTTTGGGAAAGTCACGTGATGTCTGATAAAGTAACAGCTCTTTCGTAAGCTTGTTTATGATTGGGGCCCTCTTTGTTTTCTTCTATTCTATTTCTCAACCCTTTATTTGAATATATTCTTATTTTACCCACAAAACTTTTTTCTTTGATACTCTTCTAAATGTCTAATATAATGTTACTTTACTCTTCTAAAAAAAAAAGTGAAGTTATTACCATTATGAGAATATGAGAATATTCTAAGGTGTGAGAGCACCTTATTTTATTTTTTGAAAAAGGAAAGTTTTGTAGTTTATTCTCTTGTGTTTGTCTTTTATTGAGTATTATTATTATTAACTTTTTTACAGTGAATTCTGATGAGTGTTTGCTGACAAGAATGCAAGAGATGTCATTGGACTACCATTTTACAGTGGAGCAGGAAGTGGGTTCATCAACTCATGCATTCTTTGGATTCAATGGTAAGTGAAAAGTATATTATTATTACTGCTAGCTGTAATTTAAAAATAATTTCTTACTACATGTAATTAATGCTTGCAAGAATCATGGGATAGTCACATTCTCCTTTGATAATCCAAGTTAAAAATGACAATGTGGGTCAGGTCTAGCTCGATCATGTGTTATAATACTTGCCAGATAGACGATAGATTAGATAGTGTTAGGCCAGGCCACCTCTCCGTATTGGTTGGCAATCAAAAATGTTTTGCATTAGGTCGGCCTACTTGACATTACTAATCTAAGCTGATCATCTTAACTTTATTTTAATGGATAAAAGTGTTCATGATACATATGTGAAAGTAGCTAAGATTATTGAAGTCGAATACATATTTGATCGATTAATTGAAGCTTGAGACTTATTATACTCTTTATTAACACGTGATGGAACAATTTTATGTTAGGGACTGGTGGTGTGTGGAGGATTGGTGCCATCAATGAGGCTGGTGGGTGGAAAGACAGAACAACCGTTGAGGATATGGATCTTGCTGTCCGAGCTAGTCTTAAGGGCTGGAAATTCGTCTACCTCGGAGACCTCCAGGTATTCATTCGATGAAAATGGCTTTCTAAAACTAGTAGTGTTACTCATAATTAACGTTAATGTTTGTCTTAATCCAAGGTTAAAAGCGAGCTACCTAGTACTTTCAAGGCCTTCCGTTTCCAGCAACATCGCTGGTCTTGCGGTCCTGCCAATTTGTTCAGAAAAATGGTCATGGAAATCGTCAGAAACAAGGTCAGCTCATCACTCTGTACCATCATATCGCAATATATTTAATTTACTGTACTGTATTTTTTTAGCATTGGGTTAAACCATGTCTTGTGTGACTAGCTGGCAAAGAACACATAAAATCAACAAGGCTCCCGCTAAGAGTTGAACTTGTAACTTCACCTTCTGGTACTGAAAAAGTGACAGAAAAATGACACAATTTGGTTTTGTTTGATGGGTGCAGAGAGTGAATGTATGGAAAAAGTTCTACGTGATCTACAGCTTCTTCTTCGTTAGGAAAATCATAGCTCACATGGTCACGTTCTTCTTCTACTGTGTCGTTCTTCCCTTGACCATTTTGGTGCCCGAAGTCGAAGTCCCAAAGTGGGGAGCAATTTACATTCCATGCATCATCACCACTCTCAACTCTGTTGGCACACCCAGGTAACATCCAATCTTAGTTAGTGGTGTCAAAGTAGATGCTGCCTGGGCAGCTTAACTGGTCACAAAAGTAAAATTTGTCACAAAAAAGGATCAAGTCTCACTACAGTGAGCAAAAGTCTAGCCTCTGTTGATCAGTTAAGTCACCATAGCTAATAGAAATGCTTCTCTAATGGGGTTATTTTTCAGGTCGATTCATTTGTTATTTTACTGGATTCTGTTCGAGAATGTGATGTCCTTCCACCGAACCAAGGCCACCTTCATCGGGCTGCTTGAATTCAGAAGAGCCAACGAGTGGGTTGTCACCGAAAAACTGGGAGATGCTCTCAAGAACAAATCAACCGCCAAACCCGTAGCCAGGAAGACAAAGTCATTCTTCGGAGACAGGTAAACCATCCGCCTTAAACCCTCACAACATATCATATGAGATTCCTTGCTTGCTTTTCCCTGGATGCCCATCCAACATCCTAGTTACACTTACTATGTCTTAGGATCCTGCCACAAGAGTTGGGGTTCGCCGTCTTCCTCTTCTTCTGCGGCTGCTACGATTTCCTGTACGGGAAGAACCAGTACTTCATATACCTCTTCCTGCAAGTCATAACCTTCACCATTGCCGGATTTGGCTACATCGGCACCATAGTCCCATCCTAGTCGTCCATCCCCATATATGTCCCAGGATGCATGTTTTGTGGTCTCTACACAAATGTATGTACATCATATAAGTGCGATGATCTGTTGAGGACAAACATTGAAGGGAGGGGAAGACAGCTCAGCTGAGCTCCACAGAAATGTAAGATAAAGAATTGGTCTTCTTGTGAGTTTATTATTATACTACAGTCAGTCAGGGGAAGGAAGGTTGAAGGAAGAAGTTGCAGACAGATTAGCTGAAATTATTGCAGACAGATGGATAGAATATTATTGTGTTCTTTTAAACCTTTTATTAGAGTGTTTTTGTTGTGTGAGATTTATGTCAAGTCAATTGTTTGTTTAATTTAGTTTTATCAGGAAAAAAAAAACATTTGTAATTCAGGGTTTTTCACTCTACTAGCTCTACAGTATTTTTTTTTTCCAATTTTTTAAATTATATATTGTACCAATACTCTTTCAATATATAAGAGTAAGTTAAGAAAAAAAATGAAGACACTCTTGACAATTGCAATATGCCCTTTGGTTGTTTTTTATTTTTTATTTTTTATTTTATATATCATGTTGTGTAATCAATTAATATAGTTGATGTGCCAAACACTTTATGATCACATAATCAAATTACTCTTTGATCTACAACAAATGGAGAAAGTATATTGAACAGATACTACCTTATAATAGCGTCGATAATACTAAAAAAAAAAATTGATGAGGTTTTGAACCTATTTACCAACTTCTCCCCATGTCTTTGATATATGATTATGACTTTAGGTACCATTCATTTCAATCTAAAGGCAGCATTAATGATACTCAAATGATTGTTTTTTTTTTTTTTTTTTTAACCACCAGAAATAAATATATTAAACCAAAGTGTTCATACAAATGATACTCAATGATTTTTTTTTTTAAACCAGCAGAAATAAATATATTAAACCAAAGTGTTCATACAAATGAAAGATGAAATAATATGAGGAACAATTTCAAACACTCAATCATCTCGTTTCTAAGGTTTGATAAAGCCTCCCGTGCCAAAATATGAGGTGCCATATTTCTTTTGCGCTGCATGCAACTGATTGAAACAAGCTGATTCAAGCACGTAAGGAAGTCAGTAACGAAAGGGGTAATGTTTTCACCGCGTTCATTACCACCTGAGCATCATTTTCAACAATAACCCCGACACTTTTAAAAATAGGAAAAATCATGAGAAGGACTAAAAGTGTCCAAAAAATAATAGTCTGGGATGTTAAATGGCAAAAACGATAGTCTGAGATTAAATTTGAAATTGTCACCAAAGACAAGGGACCTCTGGTGGAATTAACTCCCTTATTAAATAGTGTTTCAACTAATAATGTGCTTGTGTTGTATTTCTGTGTGCCTGTATGAGTGTATAGAAGTATGGAACTATGGAAGCATTCTAGCTGTCTTCCTGGCTGAAAAGTGCGGTGTCTCAATCGCTTGGCCCATTTTACATAGCTGCCAATTGAGCTAATAACTCAACTCAATATTACCTCAGGTATGAGGTATCAATAAGAGTATAAGAATTTAAGTTTGCAAATTGCAATCGATGCTAACTAGTATATCAATTACCTCTCTCTTTATCTTTACGTTTGTTTTTGTAATAGTATAATTGTGCGTTTATTAAATTCTTAAAGTATTTACTAACTTAAAATTTTAAGTTTTCAATGATGATGTTTTCACCATGTTCTCTGAAATCTGGGATTGGGTTTGGTATGTTGCCATGTAGTGTGGTATTGTTATAATTCACGGGCAATATGCCCCCAATCGTAACATGATATGAAAAAATAAGCATTCTGATTCTGAGCACCCTTTATCCCTTTAAGTTAACTAACTAGTTTAACTACCAAAATTAACAAATTTTGTACTATGATTTATTTTTTATAAAAAACAAACTATCTGAAAAAAAGTCGGAAATTTGACGGGTTCACATTTGCTAATATCCGACGGGTTTTCAATTAAATTTACACGGATTGGGGCTATAAATGTGACACCCCGAAATCCAAATTCGGTTAAGGGATTAATTAAGTAATTAATCCTATTTCGATTTGTAATTTAATTCCTTAAAATCCTGAAAATTCAATAGTCAGGGACTAGTAATTGACTCGTCAACCCCAAAGTCAAAGTTGTACCTTAAGCTTTATAGGGAGTTCCCTTGTTCCCTTACATTTCCTTATGTTAGTAAGGACATTCTTGACCTTTCACTTGGTGTTAGTATTGTAACCTAACCTAGTAGACCACCTTCATTCTTTCCTTACACTTTCTAAAAATCTAGCTCCACCTTCTCTCTAAAAAGGTAGATAGCTTTCCTTCCAAGCCAAGATTTAAGCCTTGCCAAAACTTCAAGAGTTGTTCCCAAGATTCAACCTTTCATATATTTGGGCATCTAGGAGGGTAAGATCTAAGTTCATCTTGTGTTTTTAGTATTATCTAAGGTGTCTTTTCTTAAAGATAGGATCTTTATGATCTTTTGGTATGTTCTTGAAGTGGGTTTGGAAGGTGAGCTTTGTGAGGAGCTTGTTGAGGTGTAAAGTGAAGTCTTTAGTCTTCAAGAGGTAACACATGCTCTACAAAATCTATTTTGCTTACCTATATGAATATTTCTTGGATTCTACATGTGTTTTGCAATGAAATGTGAGTGTTGATGCATGATCTTGTGAAAATGCATATCTAGAGCTTGTGTTTAGGGTTCTTGTATGCCATTGCTTGGCTATTCCTTTGATTCAAGTTACTTTGTTGTATTTGGTGAGTTTTGGCATATTTTGGACTTGAATTTGAGTTTGGAGATGAAAATCCGCGAAGTGTTTTGTTGTGGTACAAGGGCGTACCCGCGGGCGGAACGGCGGGTAGGAGGCCCATCCGCCGCCCACCCGTGGGGTACATATTGTGGAAAGGCTTGTACCTGCGGGCAGGACCACGGGTAGGGGCCTACCCGTGGGCCCACCCGCGGGGTACGTATTGTGGTTGTTGGGGGATTTGCTCCCCGTGATTCTTTTGACTCGGTATTTGGTCTTTTGACTTCCCGTTGTCCTTTTGTGGAACTATTTGAGTGTCTTCTTGATGTTTCGTATGTCTAGAACTATATGGTAAGAATCCATGTAGGTTTTGGTGTCTTGAATCGTGCTAAGTGTTCAACATTGTGTTTCGTTGAACTGTGAAGAGTCTTGTGTGTTCTTCGAAACTACGTTTGGTTTACCCGTTTGATAAGCATGCTAGTTCGGTGTTTAAATGCTAGCGTGTGTGTTGTTTGTACCTTCTTATGGGTTGATGATAACTTGTGTTATTCATCGTTGTTGTTGTTGGACTGTGATCCATTCCTTGATTGAGTATGGTTTCATATCTTCGTTATGATCTGTTGATTGATTCCTGTTGTGGTGTGATGCGTGTGTGGCTTTACCTGGATTGCACGATTAGTGGTATGGGACACTAGTCACCAAGGTATTGCAGTGGTCCTCGTGGTGGCCATGATGTGATTATGGAGTTGTGACCTTTTTGTAAGGTTCACATATTTCTTGGGTGGCATGTGTTGCCGTGTGTGTGATCGGTACCCTCGTGTACTATGAAATCGGTGGTTCTGTTGGAGATCTGTTGGAGAGGGGACGACGGTCCTCGGAGGAAAAAGGTTGGACTTGGTGTACAGGTGTCCTGGAGGTAAAGGTTGGAACTGGATATAAGGTTGGGGGTAGCCATAAGGTTGGAACCGAGCATAAGGAAGGCATATCAACTCGTGATAGGTGATGTCACGAGGGCTTGTGTAGCCGTTGTTGTGAGTTCTCTTCTTGTGACGTGTGTAGTCACAAAGACATGTGTTGCCTAGGCATGTGTTGCCGTTGGTCTTGTCTTTATCCTTTTGAGTTGTTGTTGTCCTTGTGGTCTTGGGATGTGTTCCTGTGTTCTTGTTGAGAGTGTTAAGTCTTGTGTTGACGATTACTCTTGATTTTTGACTTATATATATGTATTCTGTTTCGAAAATGGCTTTACAAACGTATATCTTATCTATGTATGATATTTCACATGTATTGGTGGGTTACCAGCATTATTCGCTGACCGGGCGTCGTCCCATGTTTATTGTGTTCTTTCAGGTGATGTCTAGACGAGTGCGCGGTCTAGTGCTTGCTAGTATAGCTTCTACCTTACGTTTTGTGGCCTGTGAGCCAGCTTAGATGTAGAACAATGAGACATTTGGTTTAGATTTAAACATTGCAGATGTTGCCTGTGCGTTCCAGCTTAGACCTTGTATTCCAGTTTATTTATATCTATCTATCTTTCAGTCTTCTGCTGTGTTAGCTATTTGGTTTAGTTATCTGCATGTTTAAGGTTTTAAAATGGCACGTTTTTAGGGGGTGTTATAATAAAATAATTAAAAAAAAACCGTTCAGATATTACTTCTGTGCCCACTCGATCCGCTCAAACCTGTTCGATGCTTTCCCCTGCCCCCAACCCTCCTCTGCTGCATCAACATTCATCTTTAACCAACCCCTATCCTAGGTGGTTTCTGCCAACTTATCACGAACTCAGGATCTTTGGTCCACCTTGTTGGGTACATTTAAGAGGCATTTATTGAGTTTGTCTCATCCTCCTTGTCCCACATTGCTTGGCTAACCCATCTTTACTTACCTTTTATACTCCAACCCTTTTCACAAGGTTTGAAGTGTTATGGAGAGAGAATAAAGAGAGATCTTGCGCGTGTCGCCGTCGCCGCCCGCACGGTGTGGTCAAAGTTTTGCATTCCCATTATATTTTCTACCCCACTATGTTCATAACATATGAACGTGCGTACAAACTCCCCTTTCTTCTCCTTTTTTTGTCGCAATTCTTCATGGCTGGAAAGGAAGGGACGGTTATAGCTTGTAGTATATAACACATCCTTCCCACTTCACTGAAGATACACGCATGAGTTATTCTGTTGCCTGAGTTCATATAAACATCTGTGAGTCCTGTCGGGAGCATGCGATACCTTGATTGCAAATGCCTTTAAGGTAGTGTTTACGAACACGTCACAGATATAATCCTCCAATTCTGCTACTTACAATCCAGCCACATTAAAACAGTAGCCACACATACTACTACAATCCAGCCACATTAAAACAGTAGCCACACATACTACGACATTGTTGCTTTCCTGTCCAAGGTTCTGTTCTTTCATACGTCGGCATAACACACCTCTGATCACCATGCTTCTTTGCTTCTCTCCAACAATCTAAGAACAGCTTTGCACTTCTCAGAATATCACCCTAGGATCTAGTTATTTTGTTCCAAATTTTTTTCATTCCACGACGAACTCCAATAGAGCATAGTTAAGAGAAAGACACCTAGATTAGAAATCCTAGTCCTACACAAGAAAAATTTGAAAATAAGTACAAATATTTAACATTATTTAGTTCTTTTAATTC